GTTTAGAAGATATTTATATAATTATGTATGTTCAAGATAAAAATTTGATTTTTTTTATAAATTTATAATTTACATTTTTCTATCGCAAAATTAATATAACAAATCCTTTTATTTCACATTTTTCTTTGAAAAAACAAAATTTACCTGTTAATTTGACAAGAGTGACAGGTAAATTTTGAAAATTTCTACAAAAATTACTTTGTAAATGTTTTCATCTTTAAACTTAGTCATGCGTTTTATATGAAGCTTTTAATAATAAATTTATTTCTATTCAATATTTAACGGAGAAAAATAAGCAAACCTTAAAATTTAACACTTTTTATATTTTAAAAGCAGCTTAATTCAGTAGAAGCTTACCTAAAGTGAAATATACTTATAATAATTTTAAATTATCGGTTGATTCAAATGATGTTTTTAAAATAATAATTAAAACATAAATGTTTTAGGGTTATTTTAAATATAGTTTATATGCTGACATTTTAATAAAATATTCAAAAGTAAAATAAAANATTAAGAAGAAATACTTTTAATTTTATATTTTCTCTCTTGACATGGAATATTCAATTTATTTTCTGTTTAAGCTTGTTTAAACATATACGTATGCAAATGCAACCCTAGGATTTGAGAAGCCCTAGGCAAAATTTATTTCTGAGGCCCTTCTAAAATCTGCTTTCTACCTTCATCGCTAAAAGAACAATGAAGATAGAGGGTAGATTTATTTAGGTCTACAATAATATGAACATTTTAAATATAGAAACAGACAGTAAAACACAAATATATTTTGAACAATTATTAATTTGATGATTTAAATACTAAAATGTGCCGAATTTGCGAGGCCTCTGAAAGCGCGAGGCCATAGACGTCACCTTTTCTAGCTTATATGTAGGACTGCTTCTATATAATATATTTTATTTACACATATGTAAAACCCGAGAAATTTTTCACGGACGGTCTGTCTCGGATTTGTCGAGCCCTGGCGATCTTCATTGTGGGCCTAGTCGAACCGTTCCACAATGGATTTGGAAAAGAAGCCCTCTTAGCGCTCACAGGACAAAAAGAAACAAAAATAAAATATGGGGGGAAAATTTGTAATATTTTGTATTCTAAACTAAATACTTTATAATACTGTATTTAAAAATTAACGAATATTAAAAATATTTAGTCCAAAATACAAAATATTACAAATGTTATTCCCATTCTGAAACCTAGGCTTAAAAATATTTTACGTATTTATTATTATTTCATTAAATTGTTAGCTATTTATTTTTTAATATACGAACATCATGGCTACATACGTTAGAATTCAAGTTTTATATCTTTAAAGAAATAAGTTATATCGTGAAACATGGTAGCGCTATCTAATTTGGAGCGATATCCTATCAGGTGAATATAGTATATCATGTTTCACCCAACCATCTACCACTGAGTACAGAGGAAAAAGCCAGAATTTGTCAATCATAAGTAGTGTACATTATATTGATCAGTTGATAGGATAGGAGTTGGAAAAGCAGGCTGCTGCTCGTATCATTCAGTAGCTATGGGGACGAAAAGCTTCTGATTACAGACCCGATACTAGAACTGTCTAACAGATGAATGTCCAATACTTCTAGCTATCGCCATCCTTCTTACTTTTCGGAATACAAATAGCAAAATAACATAAAAGTTTCCAAGAAAATATTTTTTATGTTAGCTAAATATAAGCTTTACGAAAAACTATAAATTGTATCAAAGGAATAACTGTAATTTTGTATTCTATTAGAATATTTTTTAAAAAAATAAGATAATATTGAAGAATTACCAATTTTTTTTATTTCAAACTATATTTTATTCATATTTATTTAAAATAACATTTATAGAATTTTCAATTTTACGATAAACATTTTTCATATTATTTAAATAATTTATTTTTATAAATTTTTAATTTTTTAATTTTTGAAAAAAATAAATTTGATCAGCAAAAGTTTAAGCACATAAATAGATTGATAACATATACAAATTTAATTTGCTGTATATAGGTTTACATGATTTGCTAAGAATTAAAATTTATATATTATTTAAAATAAAATTTCTTAAAAAAAAGAAAATTAATTTTTATAAATAAAATAATATAAA